GAAAAATAAATACGTATTGTTCCTTCATATAAACATTACATTGTGTCCTATTTTTACAGACTTTTGTGTAGCACACTAACTAACTACCAGTACACTGCTAAAAACTATAATTGTTCAGAATGTGGGGGGGTTGGTTCACTTACGTCAGTGCTCGTGCTGGGGCTGGTGTTGTTTGGATGCCGATTTTGGAAAGTTTTTGCTGGGATGGGCATTTAAAAAAATCTCAAATTCGCTTTTGCGCCATTATCTCCTTGTATTAAAGTTAATCTTCTTCGCATTCTGTATAGTTCATGTCTGAAACCATGCGCCAGCGTCACGTGTTCATGAGGATTAGGCTAATCATTCCATATAGAAAACATCACAAGTAAAATGAATCATGTTTATAAAGATAAACATGGGTTTATAACAATTAACAGTTTTCCTTTAAAGGGGTCATATGATGCTTTTTTAAAGATCATTATTTGGTGTATTTGGTGTAACAGAATATGGTGACATGCTTTAATGTTCAAAAAACACATTATTTTTCAAATACTGTACATTATTGTAGGTCCTCTATGCCCCACCTCTCTCAAACGCTTCGTTTTCTACAAAGTCCCTCCTTCCGACAAGCGCAGTCTGCTCTGATTGGCCAGCTGACCCAGTGCATTGCGATTGGCCGAACACCGCAAGCACTCGTCGGAAATGTAACGCCCCTTACCATAATCGCGAGCTTCATCTTTCAAAATAAATGTTAAGACATTAAATAATGTCAGTTTTACCATCAGTTCAAGACCAAAAGGGGAACAGAGTCGCGTGACAGACACAATGATGAAGCTGGTATGTGTACACAAGCCACGGTTAAGACAGCTGACTCCACTGTGATGTGACCCCGTCTCTCTCTCTCTCTCTCTCTCTCGCGCGCGCACACACACACACCAATCAGCTTATAACACTCCAAAGAGAAAGGAAAACATGAAATCGCATCATATGACCCCTTTAAATGCTTTATTATTATTTTTTTTTATCCAAGTCGTCACAGATTCGTCCGATTAAGCGGATATCCGCCCAATCTGGCAACCCTGCAGTTGCGTTATGTAGTGAGTCAACACTGGATGGAAATATAAGGAAACTACTAGGACATAAAAACACATGGATTGAAATGACATTATTATGGTATGCAAGCGATCGTTATGTTGTCATTTAATAATGTGTAGATTACTGCAATGATAGACGCGTTTTCTTTAGGCTATTGCCACACCGTGGTGGTGGAGCTTGTGTTGCAGTTTTTGGGATGTTTCTCCCATACAAAATGACATGCTAAATTACGGTTTTTACACTGTATCAAAACATAAAATATTGAAACAGAAAACGTATACTCTAAAAGAGTTATAAACGACCTTTGCTGCCGCAAGCACACAAACAAATGTGTCAAAGGTAACATTTCGTCATCAGCATTAGCCCATGAGCTGCACTTAAGGTTATTCATTATTACAGGTATTTCTACGACAATCTGATAGCTAGATCATCTCTCTTCAATCTATATTTCGTATTATTAATCAATTTTCTAAAGGTAAGATTTAAAATGTTTGCAGAAAAGTACAGTTCGCAGTTTTAAACGCTTCTCTTCCTTCCGGCTGGGTCTCAAACAGCACCGAGCACAACTTTAGCTCGTGTCTCATGCTAAGTTGTTGGTTTCATTCAGATTTTTTCTGTTGTAACATGTTGTGAAGTTTTTGTGAAGTGGAGATAATGCTGCGACTTACATATTTTTCGTTGTTGTCGTTGTTGTTCCAGACATTTCTGTCCCGACGCTGTTTGGATCAGTCTAATATCTGAAACCCTTCCCAGAAGAAACACCTGAGGTCTAATTTTATCGGACTATATCATGTTGGCACCTGTTAGGTAACGTTACAGACATTTTTTCACACATGTCCCTTACAAAAAGTTAACAAAGACTATAGTTTTACTACAGTAAAATTATAAATTTTCAGGTTCTATTTTTTATTATTTACAAAGACAGACAGTGGTGGTTAATACCAGGTTAGCGCATAATGGCCTATAGCATTGCGGCGGGAAAAAAATATAGGCCTAACGTTACCACGTTGTAGTTAATTTCACAAACGTTTATCGTATCATCGTTTATTGGCCCTCAAAATGTTAATCATTTACTCACCTTACCATTGTCCCAAAGCCCATTTTTGTCTTTCTTGGAAAATTCTATGACAATGAATGTCAATGTTGACTAACTTACTTCAAAAAGGACGGGGAGCACCACAGAAACATCATAAATGTGGTCGACATGACTCCTGCCTTGTATTCCAAGTCGTCGGAAGCCATATAACAGTTGTTTGAAGAACAATCCCAAATTCTCGAAATAAATGTCGTTATTGACTGAAAATTCCAACATCCACCTTAGCTCTTTGTTGCGCTCTTCTGAGGGATACAGCGATGTACCATTCATAACCGTTTGTGAGTCGGATCTTTTCAATGAATCAAATCAGAACTGATTTGAATAATTCGGTCAAATTGGTTAATCCTTTGGTTAAATTACCAATAAATACTAACCAAAACTGCTGCTACTACTTTTTTTATTTTTATTATTATTATTCAAACATACTAATTGCTTACACAACCATGCTGTTTAATAGAATACAAGACATTGGTTATATAGTTTTCAATCTTATTTAATTTGTATAGGACTGTGAGCACTGAGAGGGGGACTTGTCCTCTGCTGACTGTTCAGCCCAATCGAGCACTGATGGACGAGAAATTTCAGATTGTCATAATGAATTTACTGCCAGATCAAAAGGTGACGCTACACTCTCTACATCAATCAGAGGACAAGGACTTCTGGGAGGCATTTGGACACTACATCAGTGATGAATACGGGACAGTGACAGGTGCACAGTCAGTCTAATGCATGACCCTTACAGTTATTAAAGTTATTACGGTAATATAGTACCTGCCAACAACATACAATACCATTCAAAAGTTTGGGATCAGTAAGATTTTAAAAATGTTTTTGAAAGAAGTCTCTTATGCTTACAGAGAATGCAAAAATTGAGTAAAACAGTAATAGTATTACATATTATTACAATTTAAAATAACTGTTTACTATTTTTAAATATTTTAAAACGCCATAGCCAAAGTTTTCAGTGTCACATGATCCTAATATGCTCAAGTAACATTTGTCAATATTGAAAACATTTGTGCTGCTCAAATTTTTGTGGAAACCATGATACATTTCAGGATTCTTTGAAGAATAGAAAGTTCAAAAGAGCAGCTTTTATTTGAAATGGAAATTTTTGTAATAGTATAAAAGTCTTTATTGTCATCTTGGATCCATTTAGTTAATCCCTACCGAATAAAATCCTCCTGAAGGTGGTGTATAGGCTACAAATATGGTTAATTCTATAACATAACTATGTTTACTGTAGGTAGATAATGAAAGGAAATCCCCAGCCTGGCTAGATAGTAATCCACCTTATCAACTACCTAAACTACCTTGAATGATGATGAATAGCCTACTTCGACCAACATATAAAATTATTTGATCCTTTTGAAATTTAGTGGCCAAAGATGAAAGTTTGGGAGGCACCTATGAAGGCACAGAGCAGATGGGGTTGCTATGGAGCATGAGGCCCATACCGGGAAGTCGACCTGGACTCAGGTAACTTAGGCTGGCAAAATCATGTTGTTGTTTTTTTTTAATGCTGTCTGTCTCACAAAGTTTAAATTCCCTTTTTTTGCCAAATGAATACTAAATGTGAGATGTACTGTAAGTCTTGGAAAAGTCATCCATTTCTTCAGCTTTTTCCTCCACTAATCTTTGATTCCTGTCTCTTTTATTCAAGGCTGCGTAAGACGAATATACTCACACCAATGGTAATTCACATCTCAGTATATGGTGGGCATCTATCTCAAGGATTCAGCCAGCAAACACCCCTGGCAACCAGTACCATAGAGCGCTGGTATGTTGCGCCAGGCGTGCAGAGGGTGAACATCAGGGAGAATGGAGTACGAGGAACTTTATTTCTTCCTCCAGGTAAACACAACCACACAATGATGTAATGATATATTAAAATACAATTCATATGTATACAGTGACTTAAATAAGCCTCTGCTAAGATGACAAGGTTGATTCATTTCTGAATTTTATTTTTTGTTTTTTAATGGCAGAATGACAGAACTGTTGATATCATAATGAAACGGCCTTAAAAAAACATTAAAAATAATACAGTTCTTTTCAAATGTTACTTGAAGTAGTTTGACATAATCTTTTATTATTATCGCTTAGCATTTGAAATAACGTTTCAGCATTTGAAAAAGTTTTGTCTGCCAATTCAAGATTATGTTGTGGAACTAAACTTGTTTAAAAATAAATGTAGAAACCCTCATAACATGTATGTCAAGGTCACTATATCTTTTAAAATATATGAGATAATTTAACAATTTTATGACAAGGCAATGTTAGTTCAGGTTGTAAAATGTCAAAATTGTTTGAGTTAATAATCCAAGATACTTACAAATACCTTCATATTAAAAAATATGTATAATTTGTTTGCTTTTTTAAATAATGATTAATGTGTATACTCAGATGTATTCAAGGTGTAAGAAAAAATATCTATTACATTTTATATATTTTATATCAGTTGCTTGACACATGGCATTTTTCAATAGTTGGCATGAAATGTTTTTTTTAATTTAAAAATAATAACTTTATATTTATTTATATATAAATGTATTTATCTATATATACTTCTCTCTGGTGATGTATGCCAAACTTCTCCAGTCATTTAGTCTGCTTAAACCCTGCAATACAATATTGACTGCAAGCTATTTTTTGTTAATCCGTTTTACTTGATGTATGTCACAATACAAAAGAAAATATCTTTAAATTTACATTAAAGCAGCTTTAAATGAAAACTTCTTGAAAAGTTTTCAAAACCACTTGGCACATTTGGCTGTGATTGTATGCTGTCACACAGCTGGTTATTATTGAGTATATACAGACAATTTTCTTGGAGACTTTTAGGGCCTGTAAATTGCTTGTAAATAGCTTGCCATGTGTTTTTTTTAGGTCCTGGGTCGTACCCAGGAGTGCTGGACCTATGGGGAGGAGGTGGTGGTTTGGTTGAGTATCGTTCTGCCCTGCTTGCATCTCATGGCTTTGCATCCATGGCACTTGAGTACCTCGCTCCAGAAGAGCTGAGAACAGCTGATGTTGATGTGTCATACTTTGAGGTAATGTAATTCAAAACTTTTGACAGTCTCCTAAAGTGTAGCAACTCTGACATGATATCCTTGATGATCTGCAACTGTTACCGACCTGTCGTTACCATGCATTTTCTTGCACTTCCAGTTTCCCTCTTCCCAGGTCTTTCTGTTTACTTCATATTTGTGTGTGTGCATATACATTGTTCCTGTAGAAAGCATACCAGATCCTGCAGAATCATCCAAAGGTACAGAGGGACCGTATGGCAATGCTTGGGCTGTCTTTTGGAAGTGCCGTCACACTCAGTATGGCAGCCTTCTCCAAAGTCATCAAGGTTTGCTTGACCTACACACATGTACAGTTATCTACATTTAAATGCAGCTTTTTAGTTTGTAATGTCATATTACTGTTTTGTAGCCCCAGTGCTGTGTGTGTATCAGTGGAAGTCATGTGTTTCCTGTTGATAAATCCCTCTTTGAAGTCTTTGAGGAAATGAAAAAGTGAGTGAACATTAAACATTATCAACAGGTTTACAACCTGATTGAGCCTTATCTAAAGCTATAGTAATTCATATTTCTTGATAGTGCAGTAGGACCAGAAACTTATTATAAAACATATGTTTAAATGAATGTTTAAAGAAAATTTCACCTTTTTTGTCCTTTTTATTAAAAATAATCATATTAGTTTAGTTATCCAGAGCATTTGAGGGAAATTTACCCACACATTTAATTGTTAGATTATTTAAATGAGTAGATTTGAGTAGTTTTATCTACCCAGATATAAAATAACAGTCAATAAATTATCCATATGAGACATTTACAGTAAAAGCCTGATCCTAATGATAAACAGTAACAAGTAATGTTTTTGCAGGTGTATAGATAGGGTACGTGTGAATGAGGAGAACCAGGTAATACACAGAGACATTATCTTGCCAATTCCCTCAGACCCAGCTCTCAAAGTGGATGTGAGTACAATTTACAGATTATATAGATTTGTTCATACATAGTCTTTTTCTTTGTCTGTTGTTGTTGTTGTTGTTGTTTTTAATGTTAGATCTGTTTTTTTTCACATACACAAAGGTTGGGAGAATAAAGTGTCCTCTTCTGTTGGTGAACGCTGGTGATGATCAGAACTGGGCTTCTGTTGAATCTGCTGAAGATGTGAGTCACATATATTTCAGTTTGGCTAAACTGAACATATTACTAAACATTTATGATTTCATAAGATACCTGGAAAGGACAGCCCTTGTAAGACAATAGACAATAAGACAAAATTAAAGGAATAGTTCTAGTAAAGGAAAAAACTCATTCAGCCATTTATTGTAAATGTATTAAAAGTCCTAAGATTTCGTGACCAAAAATGAAAATTCTGTTATCAATTCATTTTTTTTCCTCTGTTTTTTTCCTTTGTATCAGTGTTATTGATTACTAGATTAAAAAAAAAACTTACACTTAAATGTAAATTATAAATGTTGCCTTGACTAAAACTGAGCTGAAATAGTTGAAGCACTAAAACTAATAAAAATTATTAAACAAAAACTTACCGAAACGAACAAAAAAAGAACAAAAAAAAACTGATCATATAAAAATAAAACTGTAATAGATATTCTGAAGAATGTTAGTAACAGTAACAAACCGTTTTGGTTACCATTGACTTCCAGTGAATGGACAAACATAAAAGACTGAGACAATTCTCAAAATATCTCAACATTTTACAGGTGTGGAACATCTTGATGGCGGACTATATATTCACAGAATATTCATTTTTGAGCTGTCCTTTTAACATGCGGTCTCAACCTTGGCCACTAGGTGCCACTATCACTATAAACACGAAATCTTAGGACTTTTAATACATTTACAATAAATGGCTGAATGAGTTTTTTAACCTTCAAAAAGACAAGAACAATGCATTAAAATGTGTAGTATTACAAAACTGTTGTCATACGAATGCTTTGTATAAGGAACAAAACTAAATGTATGTCGTTATTTGCTGTTATTCTTCTCCTCCAATGAGCTGTTACTAGGTTTTCTGAAATTGATCAACTGATTCACAAAAAAAAACAATTCTTAAAAGAAAGATGCTCAAAAAAGCACTGGTCTACTAATCTCTTTTTT